TATGGACAGGTGTGTGCAGCTAAGGACAGGTGAGCATGAACAGGTGAGAATAGACAGGTGAAACATGGACAGGTGTGTGCAGGTATGGACAGGTGAGCATGGACAGGTGAGACAGGTGTGTGAAGGTACAGACAGGTGTGTGCAGGTAAGGACAGGTGAGACATGGACAGGTGAGAATGGACAGGTGTGTGCAGGTATAGACAGGTGAGACATGGACAGGTGAGAATGGACAGGTGTGTGCAGGTGAGAACTGACAAGTGTGTTCAGGTGAGAAGTGTGTTCAGGTGTGTGCAGGTGAGCACAGGTGAGAGGTGAGCACACGTGAGCACAGGTGAGAGGTGAGCACAGGTGTGCTGTGCACAGGTGAGGCAGGGTGTCCTTTAAGGCGGGCACTGGGGTCTCACCTGTCCATCCCCACAGGTAACCCCAGCTCAGGTGAGGTCTCACCTGTCCATCCCCACAGGTAACCCCAGCTCAGGTGAGGTCTCACCTGTCCATCCCCACAGGTAACTCCAGCTCAGGTGAGGTGCGGCTGGCGGCCGGGCCGCACCTGTGCGCAGGTAGGGTGGAGGTGCTGCACGAGGGGCGCTGGGGGACGGTGTGTGAGCACGGCTGGGACCTGAGAGACGCACAGGTGAGCACGGACAGGTGAGGGGGGACAGGTGGGGGTGGGGGGGACAGGTGAGGGTGGGACAGGTGAGGGTGGGACAGGTGAGAATGGGGGGACAGGTGAGGATATGTGGACAGGTGAGCACAAGGACAGGTGGGTCCTGAGGGGTTGCTCAGGTGAGTGCAGGTGTGTTCAGGTGAGGCTGGGGGGGGGGCAGGTGAGTGCTGGGGATGTCCAGGTGAGCTCAGGTGTGTCGCTGGGTTCACTCAGGTGTGTTTAGAGCACTCAGGTGTGTTTGAGCTCACTCAGGTGTGTTTACCTGACCCAGATGCGTTTATCTGACCACAAGTAGTGTTCATTTCACTCAGGTGTGTGTTTTACCTGCCCACAGGTGTGT